TGACTGCTACGAATGCCGAGAACAGGAAACAGGAATTTGGACTCGTCAACTGTTACTCACACTTGTGTCGAGATGAACATGCAGCCTTGTGACAAGCATCGGCAACCGGAACAAGTGGCTCGTGCCGTGGCTAGTGACGTGCTTGCGCATGCACCGAAACTTGGGGGACACGACGCGCCAAGTCAACATTCAACTAAGCTCCCTTGCCCGCCGTTCAATGCCCTGATTGTCTGATAGCGTGTCCTGCGCATTCGTTCGTTTGCTTGCATTGTAGCTTCCAACATGTCTGCACCAGCCACGTCAGACCCTGTGAACCAAAGTGGTAGGTGAGCTTGCAGCCCTCAGACCTGCACCACTCGCGCGGACTTAGCGGGGCTTGATCGCTACGATCAAGAATACAGTATGCTGACGACGTGTTTCCAGGGTCTCCGTCCAAGTCGAAAAAGAAGAAGAATAAGAAGAAGGGGGGCAGTCAGGCACAGAACAAAGTTGAGGAGGATGCGCAAGTGAACGGCAACCACGGCAAGACCGGGGCAGATCACGACGACGATGTCGACGATGAAGAAGAGCAAGCTGTACGGAGTTCTAGGCGCAAATAGCAGCAAAAGGCATTACTGACAGCGCACATAGAAGCCAACCGCCGCGCAAACTGTCGATCGAGATGCAGACGATGTCGACGACGAAGAGCAACCACTTTCCCCCACACTACCCACCCCCAATGGCACCCACCAGCACAGTATAGCCTCAGCAGTCGCTCTGGGCTTTTCGCGCTCGCGCTCACCACACATGTCCCCGTCACCGCCGTCGGATTCCGAGACAACAGCACGACTGGATGCAATAGCGAAAGAGCGAGATACACTGCGACAAGAGGTCACTGAGCTAAGGAAGAGCCTGGAAAGCATACAAAGCAAGCACGAGGGTCAGACGACAGATAACGCGCAGTCGAAGCACGAAGAGGAGGTGCAAGCGCTGCGAGAGGAGCTCGAGGAAGCTAACGAGGGCAAGGAGCACTTTGAGACACAGTACAACAACCTCCTGGGGCGGGTGAACACCATCAAGACGAGCCTGGGCAATCGTATGAAGGCTGATGCCGTATGTATCATGTCGTGCAATGGGAGAACGAGAACGCTGACAGATCGTAGGCCAAGATCGAAGAGTACGAAGCCCAGGTCACCGAGTTACAAGATCAGAACACAGAACTGCAGGAGAAAATCAGCAACCTTAGCGAGGAGTTGGTGAAATTGCGGCAAGAGAACGAGACACAAGCGTCCGAGATCAGCAACCTGCGGAGCAGATCGAATCTGTCTCAGCAGAACTGGGTGAAGGAGCGCGACGAGTTGATTTCCCGCGAAGCATATGCGCGAGAAGAGTTCGAAAACGCGAAACAGGCTATGCAGGATTGGGAGGTCTTGGCTATGAATGAGCGTTCGTTACGTGAAAGCTTGTCCGAGAAGGAAGCAGAGCTGAAAGAGCAGCTTGAGAGCCTCAAGGACGAATACGAGCGAGCTGCAAGAGACAGAGACCAGAACAATCAGGCTGTTGAGGGACTGCAGAAAGCGCTCCAGGAAGTGCAGAACTGTAAGTGGTGTTGCAACGTTGAATGGACACGTGCTGACAAGCTCTAGTGCGCCGCTCTGAGCTCAAGAAGTCCGTCGAGACCTACGAAGCCCAAATCGCCGACCTTCGCAAGCAAGTCAGTGCCGCAGAAGAGTCTTCAAAAACAGCTCTGGCCTCCGTTGCTGCAACACAGAAAGAACTTGAACGTGCGCTACCCTTCGAGAGAGAAGTGAAGGAGAAGAACCTCTTGATTGGCAAATTGCGCCACGAAGCAGTAACGCTGAACGAACACCTCACAAAAGCATTGCGAATACTGAAGAAGGGGCGGCCGGAGGACAATGTCGATCGCCAGATCATCACGAATTACTTCCTGCATTTCCTGGCGCTTGATCGTAGTGACCCGAAGAAGTTCGAGGCTCTGCAGCTTATCAGTATGCTGCTGGGCTGGACCGATGGTACGTTCTCAAGGCCCCTCCGTTCACTTGTACCTTTCCAATTCGTCTGAACCTTAGCAAATACTAACGAAAACAGAGCAAAAGGAACAAGCCGGCCTTGCGCGGCCAGGCACCAGTTCACGGCTCGGCGTACCCATCAGCCCCTTCCGCAGAACACCTAGCACGCCGAGTCTTGGTTCCATGAGCGATCCTATGTTGATGGCTAGTAGTTCGAGTAACAAGGAGAGTTTGGCAGAGCTGTGGCAGGACTTTCTGGAGCGGGAGGCTGCAGAGGGCAAAGACGGAAAAGATGCCAGCAGAAGAGGAAGCACCGTGAGCCCACCACCAAGGTCTGGGAGCGGGCTAGGCATTGGTGAGAAGTAGAGTGTAATATAGGACCGGTCGTTCAGCGTCAGATGGACTTCACGAAATGATGAACACAAGAGCAAGATGAGACCAAGTTTTCACCAGTATGGGTGAACGCTAGGCGATGCATTCCAGCGGCGCATGAGGATTTGGTGTGATATCGTGCAAGCCATATCACATCTAGACCAACATGTCTTAGCTGGGCAAAAAGCACCGTGATCGCGCGCGCCATTCGCATTCAGGGGGACGCGCACAGACTACGGACAACAGTCCGGTCGGTCCTATTTGTACGCGTGTAACCCAACCTCAACTGCGAGAAGAGACAGGGGCGATCATCAACTTCACAAGTCATGGAACCCTGAAAACACAAAGACACCGAAAGAGTTGGACATTGAGATCGATCTGGCAGTGAGCCATTTCCAGTTCGAAAAGCTGAAAATCAGACATCATGCATCGCCGCACTCTCTCCCTGACAACGCCACCTACCAATACCGTGCGAGGCCGCTTCTTCATCATCGGCGGAATCCTCACATTGGTCACACTGGTCTACCTATTCACACCGCGCTCCATCATCCAGAACCACGTCCCAGGCAACTATCCCTATGTGCGGCCATCAACACCACAAATCTACACACCGACCCCCGAACCACCCAGCCTGAAACCCGTCCCAGAGAAACTCATCGTCAAAGTGCAACTCGAAGGCGAAGACCTCAACTGGCTGCTCAAACTGCTTCCGGAGTGGCGAAACCAGGTCATCACAATCGACAAATCCTTTGCCTCGCTGCACTCGAGCGGGCAGCGCGTCGACAAAGGCCGCATCGCCGACGCCTATCTGGGGTGGCTAATCACAAACTACAACCGGCTGCCCTCGACACTGATTTTCATCCCGCCCAACCTCGCCAAGGAAGAAGAGGACAAGAGCAAACGGCGGCTACCGTACAAATCCTTGGTGCAAAGTATTCAGGACCTGCAGCTCCCGCATGTCCAGAAAGAAGGGTATGCGAGTCTGCACTGCCCCACCAAACAAGAATGCGAGAACGCGATTCTGCCCTTCCGCGCGCCCCCGGATGAGTACAGGACGCTCGAGGTCAAGATGGCCAAGGCGTGGGAGCAGATGTTCAACAACACTGATGTGCCGAAGCAGCTTGCCAGCCCGAGTGGGAACGCATTTGCGGTGAGCAGAGAGCAGGTGCAGAAGAGGAGTGTGGCAGAGTACACACGGTTTTGGACGTGGATCAACAAGACGAAGATGGATGATGACAGTGCCGGGGCGGTGGTGGAGAGGCTGTGGCATGTGATTTTTGGGAGGGAGGGGGTGTGGTGTCCGGCGAAGGAGACGTGTCAGTGTGAGGTCTTTGGGAGATGTTGAGGGGGCCGTGAGACGTTCTTGTAGGTTGTAGTGGTATACCCTTTTTCTCATTCCCTCTTCTACTCAACGTCAATGTACATTCGAACACTCTCTCGCACCCAAGGAGTAGTCAGCAACAGACCACAAGCTGAGAACGTAGTCAGCGGAAGGTTTTACAAGTTCGACGGCTTTAGCAAACACCATCGGCTGTGTCACCGGGTGGCGCCTCAGAGACCATCACTGTAGACAAGGAGAACAAGCACAGCAGGAGGTTAGTGAACTTATCACACGAACTGTCGAAAGCCTGAGGCTGACCTATTATCTAGTAGAGCGATACAGCGTATTCGCACATGAGGGCTAAGATGAGAGGGTGACAAAGGAGTCGCGGCACGAGTGTCAAACGCCGGACGTAGTACCTTCCATCGACCCTGTTATTGTCAAATGAGTCGCGCTGTCCGTCTGGGATAGCAGTTGACGTTGCTAGGATCGAAGGTGCCACCCTCCTTATCGAGCTGCGGGAGTCCGCTGCATGTCAGGCTGGCATCTCTGAGGCCCTCGATCAACGCACAACAAACACTTTACGCTCTATCAACAAAAGCACGCTGAACGGCTTGCGAGCTCAAATGCTCATCCAAGATGTGTCCTGTAAAATTCGCGTCATGTATGGGGTACAAGAGAGTGATGATGTACACAGCGCTCGTCATCGTTTACGCCAGCTTCTTTCGCTGGTACTATGAACGCGGCAGACAGGGGGCACTGCGAGAAGTAGGTCAACATCATAGCTTTTTACGTTGCTACGAGGCTGACGTCGTGGTGGGCAGGCCAATTGTGCGAAGAAAAGGGAAACGACATAAATTTGCACGAGAATGCCGCAGTCGATTACCATAGGTAGTATCTGGTCGCTTCACTCTCATCTCAAGTTTTGGGTGGGTTTCCTTGGTGGGGTTGATGTTGGCGGTTGAGTGTCGGTGTTCCTTCGCCCAGAAAGCCCGCCAGAACGTCCCGCTTCACGCAAAAAGCCATTCGTTCGTGTGAGCAACCCTTCAATGATCTAGCAAACATAATTTTCGCTCGTCGTTGCAAGACAGGGGCTGCATGTCCAGGTTTGCCGGCGAGGTCTAGAATATGCATTCTCGAGCAGGACAACCATTCTGAGAGCTCGGACCAAGGTATATGTGGTTCAAGATGGGTGTCTGAACTTGAAGGAACGACTTGTGTTCAAAATTTGAGTTGAGGACATAAATGATCCGCATGCACTCTCTTCCATCAAGAACAACCATCGCTCTTTGAGCACATCTTCGATGGTCTAGTGGTCATGATTTCCGCTTGTCAGCCTCAGGTAACAAGCGCGGGAGACCGGGGTTCGATTCCCCGTCGGAGAGTCATCATTTTTGCGTGGTGCGTATGGTGTCGAATTTAGCCGGCGCGGCTGAATCACGGGCAACCACTTACCGAATCACCTTTTTGCATGCGAGACATTCAAAATCAGCATCCGGAACTACCTTACTGCAAGTCCTGGGTCTTTGTTGCGTCAACTTTTGTTTTTCGCTCTCCGATGTGACCAGAGAGGTGGAGGGTCCCATTCCGGCTATCCCGCCACATGACTCCGCGTGTATGGGACTGCGCACGGATCGGTCCGCTCCACGCGTCGCAGCTCCCATTTAACAACGAACACCTTCACACCCACACATCCTGCTGCCACCCGCCAAACATGCAACCCGCTCGTTTGTCCCCAGTCCCTCTGACAGCAAACATTTATCGTCTCCGCCAGTGCAGGCGATGGGCAGGTGGCTGTTAGAGGGGAGGTTTTCAGGCTTGCTCCGGCGCGCGGACCCGGCACGGTGGCTATCACCGTTGTATCGCGAACATTTTCTTCTCTTTTACTCTTCCCTCCTTGTGGCAATTATTTACGAGGCGTTGACGGCGGACTTGTTTCGCACCGCCTAGTAGCGCAACTACAAGTACCGCACCTTCGCCTGTTGAGCAACGGCCATGTGCAGCTGCGAAGGAACTCTATGGACGTTACAGATCAGACGTATCAGATACTCGCTACAAGCCTTATCAACAATACTTCTGAGGAAGTATTCAGCTATGATATTCCTTCATGCTCCTATTTATAGCTCGATTCATGGAGTCGGTGCGCTAAGCTGTCTTTTTCTCCTTCTTGCTCATTTTTGTCGCCTCATGTTGCAGATCCTTATTGCGACATCACATTCGTTACTCTCGATATACCTAAGGCTCTCATACGCATTTTCTTCTCCTTTCACTGCCACGCAACGGTCAGCGCAGATTTGACTCTCTGACGGCCTTGTCTAGGCTGACAAACTTCCTCCCCTCTACAAGTTCGTACAGCTTCGATCATGTAATATCATCTGATCCTTAGCTGTTATTTGTTCAACAGCCGGTGGCTGTCTCCGCAATGCCTGCTCGTTGCGGATGCTATGCATTTTGGTCATTACAGGCTTCGTCAAATCCTATTTGCTGAGGAACCATTCTCTGTTTGGGGGTTTGCTGTCAAAGCACAGCCTAGTTTGGAGTTGAGGTGCCTGTCAACGTGATCACAGGTTCCTTGGTTCTGGGCGAAAAAGAAGCACGTGAATAGCGAGCTTAAGATCTGAGCTACGTGATCGTGGACAACAACAGTGGTATTGGCAGCCCGATATTCTGCAAAACACCGACTGGCAGAGATGGGTGCGGGTCCTCATTTGTTGACTTTAGATAAGAGAAGACTGGGACATCGATGTACGTGCAGAACTTGGACCACATCTATCTATCAATCGCAAACTCGAAGACCATGCTCGCACCAAGGATTACTAAACGAGTGCTCAATGCTAGTGGATGTTCAACAGCCACGATTCCTTCGGCGGTCACATGCAATCATAGACACAGCTTTTTTATTTTCAATGTAATGGCCTTGCGAAGGCTGTTGTTTGCGATTCAAATGCGCCAGTGGTATGCTCGCCGACTATGATACAGTATCATCCAACCCATCTCGGACTGTTTGTATCGTACATGGCCGTCTCCTCATCCAGACAGACCCAATGTTCCGCCATACCATCACTCATCTATCCATAACTCTCGAACCGCCGACATGATGCAGCTACCCTTCTTTCCTGTCTGCCTGCTTCTTGAAGGCGGGCTTCTTGAAGGTCCAGCCGGTGTGCTTGAGAATCTGTTCCTTCTTCTCTTCCCGGGGGTCGTCCTCCATCGTCCGGTTCTTCTGGGCGTACTGGCGGTTCTCGCGGTGCAGCTGCTTGCTCTGCTTTTCGGTGGGTCGCCTGATGGACCAGTTCAGCTGGCGGAAGATGTTGGTCTTGATGGCTGCATCAAACGTCAGACCCACGACGTGCCACAGTCAAATGCCAGACCTACCATCAACACAGTACGGACACAGGATGTGCGCGCGCTTTGTCCGCCCACATGCCGAGCACTTGTTCAGTGATGTGATGTCCTTAATGCCTTTGCCAGCCAAGAATCGTGTGCGCTTCTTCATGTACGACGTCTTCTTCTTCGGCACCGCCTTCAAGACGCCATCCCAGATCTCGCCCAGCGACGGGAACGACGGCAGCGACAGCGACGGTATGGCGAGCGCGGCGAACGGGGTGGTCTGGGCGAGGCGCTGCAGGAACGGCAGGTTGAGGACGGGGCGGACGGGGCCATTGATGCCGCTCAGGCCGGGCATCAGCGTCTGCCACAGCGGCGGCAGCGGTCGGGCGAGCGCCATGGTGGTGATGTGCGGGTGATTGACGTCTGGCGCGAGACAGGCGCGGACCTCGCAGTTGATGATGGAGAATAAAACGCACCCCAGTCCAAGCGCCGGACCGCACTTACCACGCCCGTCGCTAGCGCGATTTCGCTTGCCCCTTTCCCTGCGCGACTCCGCGAGAAAGTCGCCAGCGCAACGTCCCTGACTATTTACAACCACCACTCGTCCCGTCGCTGCAGCCCGCCCACCACCTGCACACCACCCGACTCCAGCTCCCTCGCCCGCCAGACCCGCCACCGAGGCCCACCGCACCCGCAATGGCTGCCGCTCCTCTGCAGTCCATCTTCCCGGATAGCTATGTCGGTTTCGACAGCATCACCAAGCAGATTGAGAAGAAGTCGGTGAAGCGGGGGTTCCAATTCAATGTCATTTGCGTCGGTCAGCATCACGAGGCTTTCGGTGCAGGTGCAGGTAACTAACGTGTCTACAGGCCAAACCGGTCTTGGAAAGTCGACGCTCATCAACACCATCTTCGCGTCCCACCTGATTGACAGCAAGGGCCGCCTCTACCCCGACGAGGAGCCCCGCACAACCACGACCATCCACCCCATCTCGCACACGATCGAGGAGAACGGCGTGCGTCTGCGCCTCAACATCGTCGACACCCCCGGCTACGGCGACCTGATCAACAACGAGCGCTGCTGGGACCCCATTGTCAAGTACATCAAGGACCAGCACAGCGCCTACCTGCGCAAGGAGCTCACCGCCCAGCGTGAGAGGTACCTGCAGGACACACGTATCCACTGCTGCCTGTTCTTCATCCAGCCCTCCGGCCACGCCCTGAAGCCCATTGACATCGTCGTCTTGAAGAAGCTTAGCGAGTTCGTCAACGTCGTGCCTGTCATCGCCAAGGCGGACAGCCTGACACTTGAGGAGCGTGCTGCCTTCAAGGAGAGGATAAAGGCCGAGTTCCAATTCCACAACCTGCGCATGTACCCCTACGACAATGAGGAGGACGACCAGGACGAGATTGCCCACAAGAGCCAGATCAAGGTACGCCCCGAGAACAAGACTGGCCTCAGAATTTCTTGCTGACGCATCACAGGAGCTCATTCCGTTCGCTGTTGTTGGCTCTGAGAAGACAGTTGTCGTCAACGGCCAGAACGTTCGCGGTCGCCAGACCAAGTGGGGTGTCATCAACGGTATGTGCAGAATTGTTTCACACGCGCAACCGCCGCTAACGGTTCTCAGTCGAGGACGAGAACCACTGCGAGTTCGTCTACCTCCGTAACTTCCTCCTTCGCACCCACCTCCAGGATCTCATCGAGACCACCGCCCAGATCCACTACGAGTCCTTCCGTGCCAAGCAGCTGCTTGCCCTCAAGGAGAGCTCTGCCGTCGGCGGTCACTCGTCTCGCCCTATCTCCCCATCTGCCGACCGCGAGCTTAGCAGGAACAGCCAGCGCATGACCATGAACGGCTACTAGGAGTTGCCGAATCACAGCCGTGTTGACAGCCTTCCTGGAATGAAGGGCGGCCCACCTCCACCTCGCATGGAGCGGCCCGTGCCCATTATTGACGTGTAGGGTGAGTGGGAGGCAGCAGAAGTACATGTCTAGGAGTTTTCGACATGTTTTGATACCAGTGCACGCTTAGCACCAAACCCGGGGGAGCAGTGAGGGGCATTATGTTCACCAGACTTCACTTTATCACCTTTCTCAATATTCTTTTTAGTTTCGATGAGCTTCTTGGCCTTCTTGATCTCTTTATGTCATAGCACGGTGTAGTGGTGGGCTTGGGTCTGGGTTTAACTGGTTATACCCTGGCTCCCTCGGGATAGTGTAGTGAAGAACGTAATACACCAACGCTTAACTCCATCGTGAGATGTGTGGTGATGCGGTGTGGCTCATTCCAGCGCGGCTGCCTCCTGCCTCTGCTCTTTCCCTATTTGCTCGAGGATCAGACCACGCATCCTTCAAGTCATGTCATGACACGCCTCAAAACGGCAGTCGCGACCGTGTCTCACTCTTTCCCAACTCAACAATCACCTAACTTTGGTTCAGGGTGCTTTCAATAGGCAATTGCCGGCCCTGAATTTGAGACTCAATACATCCCTTCAGCCAATCAACCGCGATCCCATGAAGTCCTCCATGTTATCATCGCCCTTCTTGCCTCCCTTCTTGATAGCTGAGTCCCCCAATCTCACATTTCTCCCCTTTCCATTTGCACGCTCAGGTGAGGTTACATCCTTGTTCGACGAAGCACTGGTACCCGCCGAAGGCTCCCTGATGGTCGCCTCGCCAATGATGCGCTCGATTACCTTGGCTTTGGCTCCGGCGCGCTTCACGCGATCATCGAAGTCGGCGACGTCAGCTTCGGTGTTGGATGTGCTGAATGTGGGTGGATCGGTGAGGTGGTAGAGGAGGGATATGTTGGATTGTAATCGTGAGCTTGGGTTTTGGATCACGGGGAGCTGGGCGATGAGGCTGGTAGAAGGCTGCTCCTGAGGTTTTGGTGGTGATGTCGATGTCGGTGTTGCCTGGATCGAGTTCTGTGATGATGTACTGGGTTCGGCCGTTGTCATCTTGGGTGTAAGCAAACGTGATCCCCATACTGCTCCTCGACCGTGCAGCTCTCCCAATTCGACGAACTTCTCAAAACCCTTCTCGAGACCGA